TTGTTGCTTGTATGTTATTTCATTGTAATTTCAGTTTTTTGCTTGATAAAATTGTTATTTTTCAGCTAATTGTTGTAAGGGATTGTTGTCTTTGTGAATAACTATGTTATTTTTCAGAATATCTATATTATTTTTTTTACCAAAGAAAACTATTTATCCGAATTCAGCTTCAGACAGTGTTGTTTAGCTGTTTTTTTTAACCTTTTTGAGCTTATCGTTAATGATTTTCATTGCTGCATCTGAGCTCTCCATACTGAAATTCAGATATAACTGTGTATCATCCGCATAAGCCTGCATTTTTCAACGTTTAACCTCATTTAAAATATCTGCAGTGTATACATATAATATAAGCAGTGGTCCTAAAAATAGACTCATTAGGAACCCCTTATAATACATCTAGGCTAGATGAATATGATCCAATTACCATAATCCTTTGATAAGTCTTATGAAATAATTCTAGATCAAAAATGTTGATTGAATATTGAACCCTTAATGTCTTAATTTGGAACAAAGTATTTCCTGACTGATCGTGTCAAATGATTTAGAAAAGTCGATAGCAGTTGATAAATTGGGTCATTTGCAGATACTTTTTCTAAAGTATTGGAAAGTATGATCTTTCAATGCAACTATTGATAATGTGAGCTATATATTTGTCAATAAACGGGCCACAGAAGAGTGTATTATCTACTCCGTTCGAATGGTACGGTCAAGTGCAAAATGTATAAGCAATTCATTGTACTAACCGAAACATGATTGAAATGAGGTGAGAACAGTTGTCGGAAAATTGCGTCAAAACTGTTAATGAACGTTGATTACCTAATTTAACTCATCAAAACCTCATAGAGTTTCCCAATTGCCGTAGTCTGGTACATTGAAGCAATTTATTTGTTACAAATGAAGCAGAAACAATGGCCGAGAGTCGTTGGGAAAGGGATTTCGTATCGAGGCGTCGGCTGCACGTCAAACTTTAATCAGTTATTATTTACTCTTGATTGCTGAGGAATTGATCGACAGAAATGCTCTCAGATCTAATAAACTAATACTTTTTTTTAAATACGAATGCGTTTGTTCCAGTTTATCCATACGGGTGAACAAAAATGCCTTTGTTTGTAACATTTTTATGAACGTGGACATTTTTGTGAAATGTAATGTTTACCATTCCAACAGGTTTTGGTCACGTTTTTGATAATTTTTTGATGGAGGCTCTCGTTGTTTTGAATAGTTTGAAAATACAAGGGACGAACAATAATTTCAGTTCCTTATCTCTTAATAAAACATACTTAAATATCACAAGACCATGCAAGAGTTATGCATTGACCGTATGAGGGAATTATCAGTGCTAGCTGAATCAGCAAAATCTTTCTCAGACCTCCATGATATTTTCAATTTATGAAAAGTTTTAATTCCATAATGCAACATGTTTATTATGTGAGATAATGGATAACATATTGAATCAACAACTTTTTCTACACCTTCTCCGCAGATATCATTTATACATGCAGATGTTTTTTGTTGTTTTTTTTTAATTTCATAGATCTTCTGTGGATGGTCTATTGAAAAATTTACGTTTCATGTTCTTTGAGTTCGGTTTAGTAGCTCCCACGTACGTAAAGAATTCCTTGAAGAGTAGTTGTTTACAGCTGATTCTCGGCCTCCCCCCACCACTATGACGTATTAATTGCTTTTTTTATTGGTTGTTGTTTGGTGAAGTTTTTTTGTTGTGCAGTGAAGTCAAGGCGTTGTGACCTTGAAGTGTCTGGTGCATGGATCGTTCAGATTTTTTTTTCATATGAGA